ATGCGGATTTATATTTAATGGATTTACATTAAATGCAGAGTTCACGTGACAGTGGCATTTATTTCAAGTGATCAAGAAAGTACTTTGCACGCTCTCGCCAAGTTATATAGGAAGAAAGCCAGAGCATTTTCATTCTGATACACATCGCATCTAAAAACATGTCTGTGTCTATGATGCAAGAAGAGAGGGTCATGGTATTCCATGATGGAGCATTTTCGAAACCCTTCTTTATAAAATGTGTAAACCATTCTTAGAAATTGCTGTACTGAAAATGGGCTATTGGTATGCACTGTGTACAAGTAATGCCGATTGCTCCGATTTTCACTACGGCGCCCTGCCGATTGAGTATTTTGTTCAAAATTGAATACAATTTTGAACAAACAGAGCAAATGTGATGCAGGCATCAGTGAAGTTTGAATGTATTTTGTTACCAGTACTAAGTTTGCAAACATGCATGTCAACCATGGCCAATCAGAAGAGTGCACCCCTTCTATATGATAATATAAACCCTTCCTACACCTTGGTTTAGCTTTGGATCACTATGCTATCACTATGTGGCAGAAATGCATTCTAATTGGATATAAATGATCACATGACCTTAGTTCACCTTAGTTCAGGAGATGGCATGCCAAAATGTAAAATCTGTATTAGGCCTAGTAGGTTAGGTTTAAATCAAGAAAGCAAAAAATTCGTAACCGGGAAGTTCATCCATTTTGTTACATTGACGTTCCGTCAAAGTAGCTAGTTGTGGAACAGTGATTATGGCATTCGGTATAACGCCTTTCGGTACAATGCGCGTCGGTACAATGCGCGTCGGTACAGTGTATAGTGGGTTTCGGTATAATCATGGGCTTTCAATTAGAAGGGTATGCAACTCTGTATAATAACATGAGACCTTCAAAATGAGCAATGCCATGCTTCCCTTTTATGGTTATATTTCAAAAAGTATTAGATAAATGTATATGTTTTAGTATTATTTTGAATAAAAATCAATTTTCAATATGATTTAAGCATAAAATATATTCAACACGGGCTACTAGAGTTTCCACGTATATGGAGTATGACCGGTTCTTAGGCTACGAATATGACCTGTTTTGGAAAGTCATGAGAGGCACAGCTGCTTAAAAATGGAAAATAAAGGTTAAATTCTATATTATCCTTTTTGAAATTGTGTTTGTTGAATATAGTTTATGCTGTATTTAATAGTAGGTAACAAAAAATGTTAAACATGAGCTATTTTAGCTGTAACTGTTCATAATGGAATATCAATCAGAAAATACAGATTTCTCGCCTTAGCAACAGCAACAATCAATATCACAGAAGAAAAAAACAAATCCCAAACCTTTTTATGGCTAACCTGAACAAGATCTCCAAATCTCAGTTTATATGATCCCCCGTAGAGAGTGAGCAAGAGAAGGATTTATCTTTTCCCAGAGGATACGCTTGTGAAATGTCGTGGAAGACATTTCACAACCGTATTCTCCAATAATGGGGCACCACTGACATTCGTATTCTCAAAAATTCAAAGATGTATCATATTTGGACAGAGCAGGCTAAATTATTTAAAATATTCATGACTAATTCGTAGATCTAGCTATATATTATACATAAGATGTGTCATCCTCTTCGGAGTTGCGTTGTGTTACACAAAAACATGATCAAAGATGCTGGGAACTAGGATTTTACGGCTTCAATCTAATCATTTATACGTTTTCTCTTGATTAAGGCCCCTTGTGATATGCCTGGCATCATAAGTATACCAAGTATCATTCATTGACCAAGTAGGATAAAAAGAAAACGTTCGAAAGTGTTCATAAAAAGCAAGTACTCACCTCGTCTGTTTATAGGAACAGAAATACGGTCACACTCGTAAGCTTAGAACCGGTCATACTCAATATACGCGGATACTCTAGTAACCCGTGTTCAATATCAGGCCCGTAAGACACCTTTCTCAAAGGGGGGTGCGGTTTTTAGCTTACTAAAGAGAATATAAAATTGTCAATTTTTTTGCCGCGTAAATCAAATCGCGTAAGTCAGAGGGGGGGGGGGGGGGCTCAGTTACTCCCTATATTGGTTTGGAATTAACAAATGCAACTTCCAAACGTTCCAATTGTTTTGTGGGGGGGGGGGGTGTGAGGAGTGGTCCACTCCCCCTAGAAAATTTTACAGTTTTGAGATGCTATTTGGTGCTTTCTGGGCACTTTCAAAGTGTAAGTTTCCAAGTAGTACGCCACCACCATGGGAATAAGAGTTGAGTGAATAAACAACCGAGCATTTAGAGGGGTCTGGGGGTTCTCCCCCAGGAAAATTTTGAAATTTGGTTGTATTTGGAGCGAATTTGCAACCATCTGGTACGCCTGTGCGTTATGAGTCAATAAGAAAAATGTGTATTTTTTTCAAATTCTTTTGGGGGTGTCAAAGTCAATGAGAGGGTGAAGTGGGGTGTGGTGCCAGTAGGGGAGCAAGGGGTTGTCCCCCAGAAACATTGACCATATCAAGGTGCTATTTCATGATGTCTGGGCACTTAAAAAATGTCTGAGACAATACATGAAATTCAGAATATTTTCTTTTGTTTTGTGGGGGATGTGAGGGGTGGCTAACTCTCCTAGAAATTTTTACAATTTAAAGATGATATTTGGTGCTTCTGGGCACTTTTAAAGTGTATTAGTCAATAAAAACATTGAAAAACAATCACAATTTTCAAATTTTGGGGGTGTCAAAGGGGGGGGGGGGGGTGCCAGAGGGGGAGGTGGGGCTGGGGTGCCAGAGGGGGAGCAAGTGTTTGTCCCCCATATCAAAATTTACGATATCAAGGTGCTATTCGATGAAGTTTGGGCACTTTAAAAGTGTCTGTGCCTAAAAGTGCCTATTTCCCAAGAAAATTTTACAATTTTAAGATGCTATTTGGTGCTTTCTGGGCACTTTAGTCAATAAAGTCAATAAAAAAAATTTAAAATTTTTTTTTTTTTGGGGGGGGGGTGTTAAGAGGCTGCCAGAGGGCGAGGTGGAGTGGGGATGCCAGAGGGCGAGTAAGTGTTAGTCTTCCAGAATCATTAACTTTATCAAGGAGCTATTTGATGATTTCTGGGCAATTTAAAAGTGTCTGAGACAATACATAAAACAAATTCAGAACTTTTCCATTGTTTTGTTTGGGGTGTGAGGGGTGGCCCACTCCCCCTAGAAAATTTTATAATTTTACAACGTTTCTGGGCACTTTCAAAGTGTATTTTGGGGGTGGTCAAGGGGGGGGGGGTGCCAGAGGGGGGTCAAGGGGGGGGGGGGGCGCCAGAGGGGGGGGGGTCTATGCAAGTGCAAGAGGGGGAGCAAGTCCCCCAGAAACACTAACTATATCAAGGAGCTATTTGATGATGTCTGGGCACTTTAAGGTCTCATGGAAGTTAACAGGAAGTGACAAAACAAAAAATGACAAAGCCATGCTGGATTTTGAAAAATTTTTGAACCAAGATAACAGAGTTCTGTTTGGACCTCCAGTCAGTTTAACTAGTTCCACATATCATTTACATGACCAGGAACACAGTTGAAATGGTCAGAATGACCATAAACATGATAGAATAACCTTTTCAGCCCTCTGAAAATGTGACTAAAAAATAGCTAAGAGTAGGTGCTCAGGAAAGGTGCTCAGGAACAGAATATTTTGACTTTTTCAGAAAATGGGCCCAATATATTGCTCTAAATGATACAATTCAAAAAAATTTGATATCATTCTTAGAAAAAGAAAAAATTGAAAAAAACTGAATTGAAAATCGATCTATTTTCCTTTTTACTACAGCCATTATTGTTTCAGACGATTTTTTAAAATTTCAAAGATTGTGTCATTTAGAGCAATATATTGGACACATATTCTGAAAAAATCAAAAGATTCTGTTCATTGACCTTTCCTGAGCACCTACTTTTAGCTATTTTTCAGCTTGTTTTGTCATTTCCTGGAAAGTATCATTACATTGTCTTCTTTTAGAATATCTGGTAGGAGTTCAATGGGAACTCCAGGAAATTCTGATATTTCACAATTTCTATTTTTCCAAATTTTCTTTCAAAGTTTCCAGACAACACAGGAGTTACCAGTGACCTGTTTCCAGGTTTACTAAAAGTAGACAGTGTAATGATAGTTTCCTGAAAAAAGCAAGGAAATACACACATGCCTTCATACTTAATTTTGTACCAGAAAATAACATGTGCAGGTATAGCAATTTTTTACCAAAATGTTACTTTCCAGCTGAACCTTAAAAGTGTCTGAGACAAAACACTAAAATAAATTTAGAACTTTTCCATTGTTTTGTGGGGGGGGGGGGGGGTGTGAGGGGTGGCCAATACCCCTAGAAAATTTTACAATTTTAAGATGCTATTTGGTGCTTTCTGGGTACTTTCAAAGTGTATGAGTCAATGAAAAAAAAATTACAAAAAAAATATTTTTCAAAAAAAATTTCTAATTTATTTTGGGGGGTGACAAAGGGGGGTGCGGTCGCACCCATCGCACCCCCCCCATCTGACGGCCCTGAATATCATGTAAAAGTAAACAAAAAAGACCCGAATAAGAATAAGAGCTATCAAGATGTTCTCTTCCAGTATTGCATTGTGGGTAATTATTCAAGAACACATTCCAATAAAAACACAATTTGTGGGAGAATGTTCACTTTCTGTATTGTCATAATTATGATGAATTCCATTTTTTATTAAATTATCAACATATATGTAGATAATCATGTTTTTATTTTTGAGTTATTTCTTTATATCATCAATAAAAAGTACAAAATTTGAAAACCAAGGCAATGCTTATGTATGAAATATGGCGGGAAGTTGCCTACCCTTCTAGGTAAGAACTTAGTTTCAGGATGAAGGTTATGTTCAGGGGAACGCAGAAATATAGTCATTGCATGAGCTACGTCGTTCAAAAATGGCGATATGTACCCCAAAACTTGAATCTTGTGAATTTTTTCAATATTTTTCAATGAAATACTGTAGTGACACCATACGAACACTTCCGGTTAGAAACTTCCGGTAACAAAAATAATATTTGGCGAAAGCAACTCGCTGAAATTAGTGAGTGAAACAGTGAAATAAACACTTGGAATCCAGCAACAAGTGTCCAGACGATAACATATAAAGAGAGCGAGAAAGATATACAATTGGTTGATAGTGTATTTCAAATTCAATGAAGTAACCACAAGTTGCACAACACTGAACTTTTCCTGGCCTGATGTCGTTATGACTGTATGAGAGTTTACAATTGTTCACGAAGCTAAGGTACAGTGGCACTCTGATTTATTTCAGGACCTCATTATTCCCATAACGATACCTGAAGTTGAGAGAAAACGCCCTTGTTCATACTTACTTCTTCTTCTTCTTAGTCCTTTTCAGTGTTCCTTATAAGGTGTTCCGGGATCACTTTGGCATTATTATGCTGCCTTTGATCACTTGTTGCTGTTTTTTAAGGTGCTATGGAAGTTAACAGGAAATGACAAAACAGGAAGTGACAATTTTTTTTGCATTTTTAGATATTTTTGGAATAAAAATAACAGAGTTCTGGTTTGACCTCCAGTCAATTTAACTATTTCCACATATCATTTACATGACCAGGATCACAATGTGCATGGTCAGAATGACCCTAAACATGTTGAAATAACCTTTTTAGCCCTTTGAAAGTGTGACTGAAAAAAAGCTAAAAGTAGGAGTGTAGGGATAGTCACTGAACAGAATCTTTTGAATTTTTCAGAAAATGTGCCCAATATAATGCTCTAACTAGTACAATCTTTGAAATTTTAGAAAATTGTCTTAAACAAAAATGGCAGTCATAAAAAGGAAAATAGATCGCTTTTCAAATCAGTTTTTTCATTTTTTTTTCTTTTTCTATGAATGATATCAAATTTTCAAAGATTGTATCATTTAGAGCAATATATTGGGCACATTTTCTGAAAAATTCAAAAGATTCTGTTCAGTGACCTTCCCTACGCTCCTACTTTTAGCTTTTTTTCAGTCACACTTTCAAAGGGCTAAAAAGGTTATTTCATCATGTTTAGGGTCATTCTGACCATGCACATTGTGATCCTGGTCATGTAAATGATATGTGGAAATAGTTAAATTGACTGGAGGTCAAACCAGAACTCTGTTATCTTTATTCAAAAAATATCTAAAAATGCAAAAAAAATTGTCACTTCCTGTTTTGTCATTTCCTGTTAAGTTCCATAGCACCTTAAACTCATGTACTAAAAATATCACTTGTACTTTTCACTTGTGCTTATTTTACTTCTGTTGGGAGAGAGAGCGCTAAAACTTGTTATCTAACGTAGTCTAAAATGCAAGTGTTTTTCCATTAAAATGAGATGTTAAAATAGAGTCGCTATCTCATTCGAGTTAAAAATAAGTTATTAAAATCTCTTGGATTTCTGTATAAATGCCTGCAGGCATTTCATACTTACTTACTTAGGCCAAACAAAAATATATGTCTGTTTCCTGCTCCATGTATTTTCAGATTAGGGTAGGTAGGTAGGAGGATTATTTTATTTTTCATTAAAATTTTACTCAATTTTTTTTAGGGTAGGTCAGTCAGAAAAATATTTTATCTTATGTTTTTTGTCATCTCTTCGTTTTGTCATTTGCTCTTAACTGCCATGAGACCGTAATTCATCATGCAATCTATTATCATTTGATCCGTACTTACTTAAAACCTTCAGATATTGAACTAAATAAACAACTTGGTCAGGGTTCGAACTTAACTTTCTCACCTGGTATTGAAAATTGTTACGTAAGATTTTTTCTAGGTAACTAAATACCAAAGTAAGGTAGTTGTTATTATCGATTGAAATTGTTATTATCGCGATAAAACAAAGTTTTCCTTTACACTAGGCCTATATAATAATAAACAAGTCTATTGATCTGTTGATCTATTATCAATTTTATTCCACCATAACATTCGAAACTTCTGGATAAAGGCCTTCATGGACATCAAATATCAGTATATTTAGCACTGGATCAGCAGAGGTTACAAAGTTGTCATCATATTAATATATGCCTCAAAAATATAATTTTTCTGACTCAAAAATAAACAGAATCAGCTTTAGAAGACCTTAGAAGAATATTTTTAATTCAATGAAACAATTCAGAGAAAACTTGTCTCTGTGAGAACATAACATTTTCATCTGGTACATTGGAATTCCCTCTCCCAGAGTATCATTGATGCCACGTCAGTTTCCCACTTCAAAACCCTCCTGGACAAGGCATGGTACTCAGATCTTTACAAATAGCCACTAGTGAAATGAGTGAGCAATAATCAGTTCCCTACCCTAAATTCAGTTTTAATTTTAATAGATCAGATGGGAGAACATTACAGGGTATAAAGCCTCCACCCCTCCTAAACTTGATAATGATGATGATAAGTCATGTGATCAGATCAAACTATGATAGACCAATCATGTGGTCTAAACATTCAAATTCAAATTTCCCACTATAAACATTCCTAAGTGAAAGGTCAGGCTGATTTATGCAAATATCTGTTGTGTTTTCGGGTTTCCCTCCCCAAGATTTTATTTTTCTTATTTCAAATCTGCATGGTAAAATGGGAATTGCAAATTTTATTGAAGGGGGTGAAACCCGAAACCAAGTTAGCACTTAGTGTTATAGATGTCTCCCTAGCAATTGCTAGACCCCTCTGGGAGTTGATTGCGGGCCTCTATTTTGAAGAGCAAAAATGGCGAACTTTTCAAGAAAATAAACAATATTTCCTGTGTTTCAAGTGTTTTGGGGGCCCTAACGATAATATTACTGCAAATGTTCCAGGGTATGAGCAATATGGACACCTGGGCCTGATGTGAGTAAAACATTTCAGAAGGAAATGTATTGTTTCAATCGAGTAGGGCCAGAGATAGAATATTTTATTTTTCAGTGTACTAAAAAATGTCTTAGGGTCGGGGGTTCAAACTAGGGTCGGTCGGGGTTCCGGAAACGGACATATATTTTTGTTTGGCCTTAGGTCAAAAGCCTTCTTTTTATTCCAGCTTTGAGTTAGTATGTATCCATAGATCCCGGCCAGATTCTTTTGTAGTAGGATCAGTAGCTCAATAAATATTCCTCAAGATGAGACACCTCAGAAAATTTCAAATTTTAAAATGACGATTATGGAGACATTTCTGAAAAATAAGAGACAAATCATACCTCATTCGAAGCATCTTGTTATTCTTTAACTTTTTTATCATCAATGACCGTTATTCAAGCAATGCTGCGTTGATAAGAGGCCAAAACAGTGATCATTTATCGCCGGACTCTTGTCTGTCCAAATCTGAATGGTGCTCCCGTGGTTTCAGAAATGTGACGTCATCATTACAATGATATTTGGACACACAAGAGTCCGGATCTCGTGAAAAATATTCGCCGTATTAAAAGTAAAATAACTGCATCCATAGGTTATTTACTCGAACTAAACAAGCAGAAATAGAAAGATGAAGATCTCAGCTATAAAATAAGTGCAAAATCTGTCATGGGGAAGCAGGTACCATTTTGTATAAGGACATTTTTAAATGGTGGTCATATTTTTTTGAAATTTTCAAATTTAGTGTCGTATCTTGTGAATTATTCTTTGAGCCTATGAGATCCTACTACAAAACGATCTGGCCAATATCTGTGTATGTATCCAACAGACCGAATATAATATTTGGTCTGTTATGATTGATATATTTCCTGTGGAAATCGCGGTGATATTTTTTGCACATAAATTTCTCGTTTATTACACGAATGTTCACCTTGAAAATTGGTGAATATGTTGAAGATAGACTATATCCTATTTAGTCTGAATTATATTCAGACTATAAGGCACCTATGTTAAAGTTTGGCAATTCAAATTATTTGTTTACATAGGAAGTGCTATTCAAAATGGCCGATTGTGTAAAATTAATTTGCACATTTGTTACTTCAACTAGCTTTATTTCCACTTGACAATATGCTGTGTTACTTTTTATTGCATTTAGTTGTACCTTACTATTTAATTGACATTTTGTAATGTTTATTCTATTGAATAAATGGTTCCTCTAATTTATTTTGTGCAAAAAATTTCACTGCAATTTCCACAGGAAAGTAGTACATCATAACAGACTGACTTCTAGTCAGTCTGTTGGATACATACTAATGTTGAAGAGATGTTCATCTTAAACTAGAAGCAAAAATATTTGTATAAGGCGGGTACAAGTTGATATAAAATAATGAAATGTTCAGACTCACCAAAACTTCAGGATGTGTTCATAAGTAGATCGCGAAATCAATGTCAAGGACGTTTGAGTTCACGAGATCCAAACGAGATATGCAAATTTTTGAACTTTGACAACATATGACCACTTGATTACCTCGGCCTTCTTCATGAATATTTCCGCTCTATTTACTATAAATGACGAACATTAATCGGGATAATGATAATAAATGACTAGATCTAATAAATTCCCGCACAAATGGGATTTATCAATACGCTTTCGTAATGTTGCTCCGTCCGCTCCACGTGTTCTTTGTTTACAAATAGACTGACGTCACTGGCTACATCTCGTTTATCGTGAGAATTGGCATTGCCAAAATGGCTTGACCTAATCAATGGCTTCGCTACAAGAAGCGTCTGTACATTTTATGAATATCTTCAGTAAGAGGACAATATACGAAAAAATAATATTGTAAGTTCTTTATAAGGTAATCATTTTATCATTAAACAAACTTATTTGTAACATTTATACAACACCACATTTTACAATAGATGACTTACAGTCTGAATTTATTCAGACGAAGGATACAGTCTAAGCTTTGAGTGATTGTTTACAGACGCACTGATATTCAATATTTGTAAATCATGGTGACACACGCACAGTTGTTATGGCACAATTATATGCAGAATATCAGCTTATATCCCTGTTCTAATCGATTGTTATATATATTTTAATTTAGTTAACAACCGCGATTCTATTTTACAAAATGGCAGATATCTGGGTAGTCATTAGCTCTACAATGAATAACTCAATAATCCACTAGTCTAAAGAGGAAATTCCTCGAGTAAGTTCATACAAGAAAGCCCTAACAACCGCGACGTCAGATTTTATTTTACAAAATGGCAGATATTTGGGCAGTCAATGAATAACTCAATAGTGATCTCTTTGTTCCTTTTTCCTTGCAAAGTATGTGCAAGTAATTTGAAAAGAATGCTAATTTAGATATTTATGATGCTATTGGCCAGTTTAGGCCAAAATTGAGGGCTCCAATTGATCAAAATGGTGGACATA